CTAGTGGTTTAGAGTTCAGACAATACTCAAAAAGAACAGGGTTTTTTGTTTGTGCAAAAATTTACGATCTTGCATTTACCTACTATTAATGTTAAATTATCAGTTTTGCACCATAATTTTTTTTTATTAAGATCTTTTTGCAATAGTCAACAATCATTTGTCAGACTTCAATTAGCAGAGCCAAGAAACTGACAGACACGAAAAACATCTCTTACATCATAAAAAAACATTAAAAAGGAATGTTGCGAGATGCCCACCTTGTTGTACACCTGGAGTTACTGTAAACTCAGATAATATGAAATTCCTAATTTTTACAGACTGTTTACGTGTCCTCAAGTTTCTCTCAAACGAATTAAGAAAATCTTTGAAAATCCCAATTCAGGCAAGTTTATTCACCATCATCAACTGTGTCAAAAGCTTTCGATCAGTAGGGATCGAATCAACGTAATACCTATTTCCGAAAGTTCCGAATAGACATTGCTCCATAGCTTGAGAGGTTAGAAACTGTTGATCTTCCTTTTTTAAAGCCATGCTGTTCATTAATCATGATTTTTTTGAAATGATGGAGATAATGGCTTCAAAGATTTTAGAAAATAAACATTGTTTAGAAATAGCACGGTAGTTTTCTATGTCTGCTTTGTTCCCATCCTCAAAAACTGGTGAAATATAGGACGTTTTCCAAGGAGTAGGGAATAAACCGCTACTTTGATAGATTATAAATCTTACATACAATACCAAAAAGGACAAATTTACAGTTTTGCACTAAGACAACAGGTGTGCCATCAGGCCCAGGCCCTAAATTGGGGTTTCAAACAACAACAGTTAAAAACATCAATCACATGAAAAATACTCATTTGATTGCTCATATTCTGAGTATACCTTCGAGGAGTGAGTGCTAAACATTTGTGGTATTCCCTGTGTGAAAATTATGATTTATTTCTAGACTATATTAGACTTTGGTTTCACCCTTTCGAGTCCATACTCTACACTGCAGCCTTTATAGGCTTTTTGTATTTCATTTGTATGGGCTCTACTCCTTCTCATTCATACTTGGAGATCAGATGATTGGCGGCAGCGCGGGCGACCTACCGTCCCGTACTACTGCGGTCACCCATCCAATCTCCAACCCGACACCACGTTGCTTGGCTTGAGTAGGCCGTCTCTCACGTCCTTGATCAAGAACCAACGTGCCGGTTATTTCTACACTGCTCTCTTAATTGTGGAAAGACAATGTAGTCGTCCATAGCTTTTGTACTTTTGAATATTTGTATAACTTTTTCTTTTCAATAATTGAATATTTCAAGTCATGATCCATCCATTTTAGAAATTTGGGTGTTTTATACCGAGATATTAAGTTCTTTGGTTTGGAATTGCTCAGCTCAAAAAAACACACAATAGCTGGGTGTGGTGTATCCAGCCTAAGCAGCGGCTTATCACATATCAAAACATTTATGTCAACATTATTCGAAAACAATAAATCAAGAAATTTACCATACACATTTTGGAGTTTAAATGTTCTGCAACAACCCCAAATAGGCTGCACAGTCAGAATAAAGTACCACAGCCTCGTTTGTAATGGTTCTGGATAGAGATGTTCCATTTGCCCCATTGACCCATGAAATTTACGGTAGAATAAATCACCCCAAAGAAAAACATCAGTAAAATCTGTTTCATCCACCAAAGCTTTCGTACAAATCTACAAATGAGACACCTGGTATTATACATTGCCCAGCAGAATCTTATTACTTCCAACAGAGATTAGAATAAAAAGCTGTTCAACAGGTGTACTAAGCAGTTACAGGAAATTGATTTTTCTACAGCGATAAGTGGGTACTCCACCCTGAAACATGCAAATACTGGTTTCCTCCCATCTATCACATCAAATAGGCTTGCCATATTCCCATTAGCTTTAGTTAGCAATTCTTCCACTACCAGCAATTGATCATTCGTTATTTTTTGCCCTGCCTTTAATATAGTCAAATATTACTTGACAAGAAGCAGAACTGTCAACTCGTCCTAGAAACAGCTACTTCTTGTCTGGAACCTCCCTAAACAGACCCCCCTGAATTTTATGCTAAGCCTCTAATAATATTGGCGTAACCTTTTTTATTATAGAACATAGGGCTATGGAGTTCTGTGTTTATTTGTGAAAATTTTAGTAAATCTGTTTGCACTAAATCCTCATTAACTGCCTTCACCTCAAAATTAGTGATAATTAATTTGTTTATCGTTCGCCTAAGGGAAATTTACATCCACTTAACTCAACTTAACGTACGGAGAATTATAATAAACGTACGAAACTGAGAAGGTGTGTGTTTACAATGAGGTTAATTATGCGAAAAATTATGATGTAACACCGGCTAAACGCCGAAATGGCAAATGCTGAAATGGCAGCCTTCTGTTCATTCAGCCCTTAGTGAACCGTGTCCTATACTTTAAGGTCCGGTTGTACAACGGGCGTTCAACCGAAGTTCACACTGATTAGTGGTTCAAAGGAAAAAACTCGTTGTACATGGTCGGTTCAAACTGTGAATTTAAGTTGATCTTGAACGTCCGAATTTGGGCGTTCAAGGGCAGTTCAACTCTTTTTTGGGTCAGTTTGGGTTAGTTGCATCCTCACTCTCCTTGTTTTGTTTATTTTTTGATGAGGGATCACCTTGGCTTTTAAATATATTGTCAACTAGCGGCTTAGGAAAGGAGGACCTGGTATTTAACCTTATTAATTTAATTGCCGATTCGATCGAATGTTTATTGTAATTCAGCAATAAATTGGTATAAATTGCGCTGCAAGGCAGACTTAAACCAGTGCAAGTACCTCTCGTTGGAAAAGCCCCTCTGGAATTAAGTCTCCCCAGTGCAAGTACCTCTCGTTGGGAAAGCCCCTCTGGGTATCTTCAGCCTTATCGTTGTCCAGTGCAATTACCTCTCGTTGGGAACGCCCCTCTGGACAAGGCATAAGGGTGACGATAAACTAATCTACAGTCCCCCAAGCAGCATTGACGTGTGGCTCCCTATAAGGACCCCAGTGTTCGAAGGGTCATGTATCTTATAAGATTAGCGTACATGTAAGGTTATATTTGGGAAAATATATATCTATATTTTTATATAACCTGAGCGAGTTTCTCTCCATCAATTCCCAAAGCTACAAACCCCCCATGTCACCCCCGTAAAGCGGGCAGTTGTGACAATATATATATTTTTTCGAGTTGATATTCTCTATCTATGTTTAATTGAAATTGGATCTTGAGTGGGAACTGTGGGAAGATATTACAGACGATGACAATTTTTCAGAAATTACCAATAATGTTGCTCACCCTCGACCCGACAGTCATTCAGAAATCGAACAGATCATTTAAACATTTGGAATGATGAAAAAAAATAATTCAAGGACAGATTCAGGTTGGAGAGACAAGCTGTGAGATTTATCATAGATGAAAATAAAATTAAATAAATAGAAAACAGAAAAACACACACAAAATAATAACTTTGATAGGTTATTGGTTAGGTTGTCACGGTTGTGCCTATTTTCTTTCTTCTTTTTATTGTGGACATTGCAACTGATAGTTCAGGTAGACCTGCAGTGGTAGGTACAACACTTGAAACTCTGAACCACGTTCAACAGTGAACTGCAGTGCAACAAAATTTGGGTTGAACGATTATTCGTACAACCGGGGGCCTAAGTGGTTGAAATTCGCTCTAGTGAGATCGTAGATATTTGTTTTGGAAAATTCTTACACAGCTTAGGCCTTCCTAAATTTGATCCGCCCCAACTCGAAAACGGTCCATCGTAGCAAGATGCGGTTTAAATAATTATTCTCAGATTTTTTCGCATTAGAACTTTTATTTCTGGGTCACACCTCCTTCAATGTGTGATATTTTTCGACATACTACTAATATTTATATTTAGTGGTTCAACAGCTGAAACTTTTATTTCGTTTTCTATTATAAATCCGAAAAAAAGACAACGTTTTTATATTCAAACTTATATGTATTTCGAAATTAGGTACACTAGGCAAGTGTGATTTGGATTCCAAAAATTAATACATATATTATGGTAATTTATTAGTACAATACTTATGCTATTGGTTTGTATTTTGGGAAATATGCATGATCTAACCGTCCGAAGAAAACTTCTGCCGTACAAAACAGGTAGGATTTGACAATTTTGACAAAGCGAAATAATTACTTCTCTACCGCGAAGTTATGCCGCTCGCACGCAAAAGCAGTTAAACGAATAACCTTTGAGGGCGACAAAGAGACTTTTCTTACACTAGGTCAAGAGCGCGCTTCGCACGCTTCTTTTCTTAAGGGGTATCATCAGTGAAAAATTATTTCGATGGCGCGCCTTTCGAGCATAGTCGACCGCAGCGCTCGCCACTAGACCATATTTTTGCATTGGCAACAGTGCCTTCTTCGTAGGTAGGTACCTAACTTGTCGCGTGCTAATATTGCTTTTCCCTTTCAATGTGAAATAATTACCAAGAATGACTTATAATTTGGGGAGTAATTTATGACATGGGCATCATAATAATATCTTTATTATAGGTCCGAATAAACAGTTTTGTTGGACAGCTATAGCGAACACTTTTTGAAAAACGGTGGAAAAATAAATTCACAAAGAAACTGTGTTGAAATTAAAAACAGATTTATTCAAAAAATAACATTGTTGTAACAAATAAAATTGTTTCAATAATGGTTCCATTTTCTCTTCCCAGAATAAATCATCTCTCTCTATCTGAAAAAAATAAGCAATAGATATATTAAACATTTTATAAACATATGGCAAAAATCATACCTTTTGTACAAGGAATCCCAATGGCGTCCAGACTAGAAAATTACAATATTTCCTTTTGGTTATGTGTAGTTGTCCCTGAATTTGATAAAAATAATTGTGGTTTTGCTTTACCTCAAATTTTCCATTATTCAGGGTAGCAAAAAATTTTTTTGAATCGCCTCTTCTGGCGTCATTTTTTCCGCTGAGGAAGGACACTTCACTTCAATTATCCCCTCATCCTGAATAAGTCCATCTGGACTAGCTGCCAAAAAACAATGTTTTTTATCAACAAACCACAAGGCTCCACTATTTCTTTTGTGTAGGTTTCGTATGCTTTTATGGCTAACGGTTCTTTTTCTGTTCCATATCTTGTTGCAGAACTTCCCATAAATTTAGAATATAGAAGATTCTTCACACTATTTTCGCAACTTGTTGTTTTCCTCATTTTGCAGACAGTTCCAAAATTAGAGGCGGTTAGCCGGAGGCTCCTTTCCTGCTTCCACAGTGGGTTGCCAGATTGACCTCTCGTTTCCTTTTCCAGCTTTTCAATTTCTTCTCCTGACTTTTCGAGCTCCTTTAAAAATATATTCTTTTTAAATTGGTACTGTTCTTCAGTTAGATCCGGTTCGGCAGTAGCATCTGGTCCATAATCTTTATCTGGAAGATGCGCATTTGTTTGTTTTACACTAAATAGCCTTTTTCTTTTTATTATTGATCTTTTTATTTTTAATTTGTCAGCATATTTTTTGTATAGGCTTCAGGAGTAGCGTTACCAATCGCCTTGCCTATGGCAAGATGAAAGTCTCCACTACCTACATTAAAAGAAATTGCGGCAGCTTCGCATCTGGTCTGATAAGAGCCTTTTTTGCTAAAGTTAATTCTTTTTCCTCCAACAAACTTGCATATCTCCGAATCGTAGCTCTCTGCAAGATTATTATCCATATTATAGATAAGGCTTGCTGCATTAAAAACGAGTCTATTAAAGCATACGTCGATATCTTGAAGGAGACCACATGTCTGCATAAGGGGAATATAATTTTCTTCTGAGTCTTTTCTGCTGCATTTAAAGTAACCCCTTTCTGCACAATTCTTATGATCCCCAAAAACATGGAATGGTATATTCTTCATGTCTGCAACAAGATAGTCCACTTTGCTTAAAAAAATTTGTGTCTTGCTTCATCCTGTAATTTACTGCCATTTTAATGCAGGTCCTCAATCTGATGATCGATCCAGACACTATTTTTCTTAGGGAAGGTAAAACTGGGAAATTGGTAGAGGAACTTCTTTTCTTGGCTAGAAAATAAATTATAGGTAACTATTATTATAGGGGGTTGTTTATGTCAGACTAAAATATTTTTTGTGCATACACCTTACGTGCAAAATGTATGAAATCCATACAGTTTTTTTGTAACTTTACCAAATTTTTATAGATGCGCAAAAAATAGTGTATATACGATGACCGCGAAACTTTTTAGCGTCCTCGAAATTATTTTGCCTTCTTTATGTACGCTAAAAAGGCATTTCGCGGCCTTGGTATACACATAACTATTATGAATAGGTATATTTATCTTATAACTTACTTTGTTTTCAAAATATCTATAGGTTTATTGAAAAGCACGAGAGAGAAATACCAAAATTTTCTACATTTACTAAGAATTAAAAGGCAAGCACACTTACCACAAATGTCTCGAATTTTTGCACAGAATTTTCTGAGTAGATGATTCCTACATTCAAGTTTTTGTACCAGTGTGGTCCCATATGGTCTACTTTCAATTAATTTTTTATGGACACTGCTATCTCCATCTCCAACTAGTTTCAGGTATATTAAACCATACATTTCCATGCTTCTTTTGAACCCCTCACAAATTATATCACTCTCCATTCCTGTTGAAGTTCCTTTCCAGTTTTTGTAGCAAGCATGGTCGGGAATGGGGGATACATTTTTTGCCTCCGCATGAGCACAATAGCTGCAATACTTGTTATGGATTCCCAAAAATAGCAACTTTTTTGTTCTTGCTTCAACAATGCATGCCTAAAAAGTAAATACAAAATTATTTTAGTAATTACCTACTTCGTTTTAAAAAATATAAATATTTATAACGTTGTTTTAAACTGTATACTTACTGCTCCTGATGCGGCATCATAATTTACATTATATGAACGTTTTCCCCATGCTCCATCAGCTACCACGGTAATCAAGGGAAACTTCGTCTTTTTATCAACTTCGCCCAAATCTCTCGCTAATTGAGCTTCTTCCTCGGCAGCTTCCTTCATAACATCCCACGCTGTTTTTCTTATAATACTACCAACTTTTTCATGAAAAGATTGATATGTATTGGGCGACATGAATGGAATATTTAGCAATGCCATGATTTCATCAGGTGTGGAATATCCAATCCCAGTTGATATTGAAGCTACCGTCAATGCTTCGTTTATACTCATTTGTCCTGTTTTTGTTTCAACCAAAGGAAGGAGCTTCGTTATATTGCACATGTAACTTTTTAGTTTTTAGGTACTCTCCAAGCCTTTTCTGTGCTCTCCAACGATGATCATGTTCGCGAATGAGCAACCGAATAATGGTCCATGGTAATTTAGTTCCTTTATGGTTTGAAATAAATATGGTAAGTCTACAATTCTTCTCCCTTCCGGGGTAAAAATGGGATCGGGGTTTGATTGACTGAAAAAGAGTTATTGATAGTTAAAATCTCGGTTGAAATATAAGAAATTGTTTGAAAAATAACATGCATTTTCATTCACCAACCTTTCCGGTTCTTCCATTTCTATATTTAATTCAGGATCCCAATGACTACATCCTGGTTGAGGAGATGTATTAGAGGGAGATGTATCCTTGTTTTTACTAGAAACCCTGATAAGTGGTGGGCTGCAAAATATTAAAGAGATATAAATATATAAGGGGAAAAGAAGCAGAATCTTGGAAGCATTTGAATAAAAAAACTTACCTTGGAATGGAAGATGGTTTTGCAATATTCTCTTGCGCTCTTGCTCTTCTAGCAATTAACATTTTTCTGCGAACACTTTTCTTATACGATTCACGTTGGAAGCTTTCCGGTTTTCTTTCCATATTGAAATGGAAAAAAATCACTTATCAAATTTATCACTAATTAAAAATCTTCAAAAATAGCACAAGCTCTTTCGAAATTCCAAATCGGAATGATACAAAAAAATACGCGAGGACAAGAGGAAAATAAAATTTGGGAGGTGTAATGTACATTATACATTAAATGTAACAGTGAGATAAGTTGTATAGATGTCATTTTAGTGAAGAAATTTCAAATGCGATGGATGGAGTTGGTGACCAATTATTTTTGTTTGGTATATCATAATAATTTTAAATCGATCACATTTCTTGAATGTACGGTGTGCGTATGTCCAGTGCATCTTATTCTGTTTAATCTACGTCGGTGTCATTATGACACATTAAGCATTGGCATTTGAATGTCATTAGGTCCTTCATAATAGCACTAGTGCGTTTAAGAATTCATAATAACACCCAAATTTTGAAATGAAAAATATACAAAAAGAAAGTTAGTTGCCAGAAGAACCTTTTCAATAATGCTGTCTCTATATTCGAAGAGACACTTTCGAACTCAGAATCACCAATAATAATATTATTTTCCACTATAAAATTGAATTTATGGCACAAAAATGGACTCCAATATTGAAGCTGCCAAAGTCAAAATTCTAAAAACCAACAAGCAGGTTCTCGACTAGTACGGGCACCTGCTAAATTTCAAATTTTAATTTGAAAAGTTTTTGCTATTTCAAGGCAAATCAAATCTATTTGGACCATTGTAGATTAAATTTTGAATGATACACGTTCGATATGAACTTTATTAATGAAACTTGTGTAACTAAACCACTCGGCTGACGCCTCGTGGTTTAACGTTACACGCGTTTCATTATGGCGTTCATATCGAACTTGTATCATTAATAACTATTATGGAACTCGTAAAGTATCCAAGGTTTAAAGAGTACTAAGTCTTCATGTTGTTCTCCGAACGAACTCTGAAAAGCGCCACATAAAGTTGTCCGTGACTAAATACATCCTTTCTGGAGATCAATTACTATCCTATCAAATGTTTATCCTTGAGATTTGTTAATAGTTTGAATGTAAAGGGGTAGACGTTTTTGCAGTAGAGTGTTATTCGATTTGTGAACACTATTTCTTCCTGTTAGAAAGATTTTTACAGGTAATGACCAACGTGAATACAGGGACACTTCGGTCCCTGTTTGGGAATCGGCCCACTGAGCAGTGGACTCAGGCTTCCCGTGCCAATCCTTGACGCGTTTCGTCCTTGTCAACGAAGTTCAATTTTGCTAGGACAGGGAGCTTTAGCCTATGTCCTTCTGATGAGTCCTAACAAGGACGAAACGCGTCAAGGATTGGCACGGGAAGCCTGAGTCCACTGCTCAGTGGGCCGATTCCCAAACAGGGACCGAAGTGTCCCTGTATTCACGTTGGTCATTACCTGTAAAAATCTTTCTAACAATTTCTATTGCCAACGAAAGCTCAGACCAATCAGTGTAGTTCAACGCCGGTAGGGGTATTTGCCCTCGGAGTAGTTGTTTCTGACTGGCCAACGAAGTTCAATTTTGCTTGGACAGGGAGCTTCAGCCTATGTCCTTCTGATGAGTCCTAACAAGGACGAAACGCGTCAAGGATTGGCACGGGAAGCCTGAGTCCACTGCTCAGTGGGCCGATTCCCAAACAGGGACCGAAGTGTCCCTGTATTCACGTTGGTCATTACCTGTAAAAATCTTTCTAACAATTTCTATTGCCAACGAAAGCTCAGACCAATCAGTGTAGTTCAACGCCGGTAGGGGTATTTGCCCTCGGAGTAGTTGTTTCTGACTGGTCAACGAAGTTCACTATTTCTCCCTGTTTATCTACAGTCAATATTTCACAGCGTAACAGATTATCCCCAAGTTCCAGAACTAATAGCCTTGAACCATTGCAAAGACCTGCACTGATGCTCAGATTTCTAATAAGCATAACAATAGAATTCGTTCTCAATCGTAATTCATGGGGCGAGAATTTTGGAAGAATAGCATCATTTAGCTCACCATCATCACAGTTCTCGACACTATCTATACTGACTGGTGTAGAGTTTTTCGGTCTTGACATCCAACAGTTCGACAACTTATTCATTTATTTCTTCAACATCAACATTTCTTGCAGAAAGTATTGCAGATTTGGTCAAGTCCCTGAATCTTCCTTCTTTTAGTACTTCTTCATATATGTTTTCAACAATATCCGAATTATCAATACATTTCTCCGGCAATTTTAGATTGTCGTTGGAATCATTTAGTGCTCGTTATCCCTAAAAGTGGCCCAATTTCAGCAATAACATGCCTAATGTTGGCCTTTAAGGCGGCAACCGTTCGAGGTTTGTCAACAAAGACATTGGATTTTAGAAAGCTCAAATCCAGTAACGTTAGTTCGGCCAATTTTGGATTCGTATTCGATCGTTGACGCCATAAATTGCACGGAGTGCACGAAACGTTTTCCGAATAGAACATTGGTTTTGATAATGATAATAATTTTTAACAATTTCGACGCGTTGTTGAATCGTGTAGCGCTCCATAATAAAATGCAGAGACTAATTGAATACGACTGCCTAGATAGCACCTGTGTGACTATCGAACTTTTCATGGGCTATTGTGAAACATCGAACGTTTCTATTGGAAAATCCTATACATACCTAGATTCTTCTATTGGACCTCGAAAAAATAATAAACCACTTGCTTTGAGAAACAACCATCTACAGAGAAATATTTAATAGCACAGCTAGGGCGTGTTCTTTTTTCCACCAAAAGTTTATGTTGATTCCACCAAAAATTTACTGCTGCAGCAGCTGATTTCTGTCATCAGGGTCGAACTTTTGGAAGTGTGCCGGGAAATTTCAGTCTAGCGGCTCATATATCATCACCCCTAGATGTGGTCAAATAATATTTAAGTTCGTTATCATCAACGCATCCAAATTTTCCATTGTAAGTCGATTCCTTGATCGATTTTTTATATCTTAAATTGTTGAAAACTACAAAACATTTTTCGCATCCTACTTGTGTGTACGCTGAAGTGAGGACATACTGGTAGGCCCTGTCTGTAAGCACGGATATACAATCTGTATTTTTACTTATATGAAACCAAACATTGTTTGCATCGTAAAGTGAAGAACATTTTTTTAGAAAGTTCTAATTCATGCCCTGTATCTAATTCTGTGTCATTTATATCATCTTCATCTTCATTGCTTGATTCAGGGAGATCATACAACTTAAATCATTTAACAACTTTAATCCATTTCCTACATCATCCTATCTCTCTCAGGACATACAGTTGCGACCTTTCCAAAGTCACCTACTTGATTTTATTTAAAGCATCGTCTGGTATTAGTTCGGAAAAATTGATTATGAAAAATTGGCATAAAACAAAATATCTCCATGCCTTGAAAAAGATGCCTCTATTTTTAATATGATACGAACATTGGCCAAATCGCGTACGTACACCTGAAGTTTAAAAATAACAGCAGCTGGAGGAGTATCATCTCTATTTCCTCCCCTGTTACTTCTTTCTTTCATTTGCATCCAGTACTGTATTTAGCCATTTGACATTTTCAGCACTTTCTGATATATCTTCCATATTGCGTTGTTCCTTTTTCAGTGCGTCATGAATTGAATTGACCATTAATTTTTTATGCTTTAATAAGGTCTGTTCTCACAGACATCACAAACCAGTCAAATTTCATTGGTTGAAAATAGTCAGAAAATTGTTTTTTGGCGATTTGCACCAATCAAAAACGCTATGACTGGTTTGTGATTTACACTGTAAGAACAGATCTTATGGAGATCGTCCGTTTAAAGGTATCTTGATAAAGGTTTTCTTGTTCTAAAGATTGGCCCACATGCTGATCGGCCCACCGGGAATTTTCCGGTATCCCGGTGGGCTCGTCCAACTCTGTCTGTCACGTGACTATTTGATGTCATTTGGTGGAAGCACCACAAATCCACCATAATTTACATAAAAGAACGCTTTGGTGGACCAAAATCGATAATATCTAAACACCTAGATGTTACATAATCTGTGCTTCTAATTCAGAAAAATTGAAATGGATAATGCGAGCAAAGCTGCCATTGGGCCAAGAACATTAATTGCAAAGCGAAATAAAAGACTCCTCAGAGGATCTCAATTTCTTTTGCAGTCAGTTTTTTTACTGAATATGACAAATCATTGTAGATAAAAGTTACGTCATCAGCTTCCTGGTTTTCCATTTCTTATCCTAAGGTTCTAACAAATGAGCTAAAAAACAAATCAAAGACTTCGCGGGTCACACAACAAGCAGTGGTATTTTTTTAAGGTTGTGTGGTCTACCAACGCAAAACCACCAGAGTAATCAGAGAAAATTTCTGGTGGAGCTTGATTG